TCTCATCTTCTTGAGAGAGCCTACAAATTAAGTACAAAAGTACAAACAATTGATTGTACAAGCACACTCAAATCCTTCTATATAAGCTACAAAGGTAAAATTGGAAAAATAAAAAATTAAAAAATAAAAAAAAAGATGTCTCATTTTTCCTCTTCAAAAAAAACCTTAATTTTGCAGAACTGTTTACTTGTAATTGCAGTAGTGCTGCTATCAGTTGTTTCATGTAGTAATAACAATAATAATAACTATTCGCGGCAACATGTTGACATCACTTGGGGTGAGGGCAGGGGCAAAATCGTCAACAACGGTGAAATTCTCACTCTCTCTCTAGACAACTATTCCGGGTCGGGTTTCCAGTCCAAGAACGAATATCTATTTGGGAAGATCCAAATGCAACTCAAGCTCGTGCCCGGAAACTCAGCTGGCACCGTCACTGCCTTTTATGTTTGTTTTCTCTTCCTTTTTTCTTTTTCTTTTTTTGTTTACCATCTCATGATTTATTGTAGATTTCTCCTCTAAGTTACTGTGCGGTAATTGGAATATTTTACTGTTGGATTAAAAATCCGATATTTATTGAACTGGGTTGAATGTTCCCTTATTTAATAATACTGTGTTAATTAATTACACGATTCTTAAAGTGATAAAATTTTTATTATGTTTTTGTGAGAAATGCTACGACGCCATTTTGTCGGGATTTGTAACCATTAGATCATCACCATCTAATCGTCATAGATAGTTGATCTAACGGTTATAAATCCCGACATAATGGTTTCGTAATTTGAACCGTAGCATCTTCCGTTTTTAGTTTGTCTTATATAGTTATGACCTGTATAATGTTTTTCTATTTATTGAAATTATTATTATTATTATTTTTTTTTTGGGCAGTTGTCTTCTGGAGGGTCATATGATCATGATGAGATAGATTTTGAGTTCTTGGGGAACTTAAGTGGTGAGCCTTACACAGTTCATACCAATGTTTATGTTCAAGGCAAAGGAGATAAAGAGCAGCAATTTCACTTGTGGTTTGATCCAACTCGTGATTTTCATACTTATTCACTTCTTTGGACCCCTCGAACTATTGTGTAAGTAACATTACCAAATATATTATAGAAAGATGTTACGGTCCGTTTACGGAATTTTTCCGTCGGGGTTTGTAACCGTTAGATCCATCATGTAACCATGGCGGATAATTGATCTAGTGTTTACAAATCCCGACAGAATGATTCGGAGTGTAGCATCTCCCTATATTATAATCACTAAAAAGAAAGCTGAATTTTCTCTTTTTTTTTTTCCCTTAGCTTCTCAGTGGACAACATACCCCTCAGAGAATTCAAGAACCTGGAAAAAATGGGAGTCCCATTCCCCAAAACCAAGCCCATGAAGTTATACTCCAGCATATGGAACGCCGATGAATGGGCCACGAGAGGAGGACTTGTTAAGACTGATTGGGCTAAGGCCCCATTCGTGGCCTCATACAGAAATTTCAACGCAGATGAGGCCTGCGCTGTGTCCTATGGGTCTGATCCAGCCCATTGCACCTCAAAGAACAGCCCAATATGGACGTTGCAGAGTTTGGACCCAATAGGAATAAAAAAGCTCAAGTTGGTTCAGAAGAATTATATGGTTTATAACTATTGCAATGATGCCAAACGCTTCCCACAGGGGTTTCCCAAAGAATGCTATTATGTTATTTAAATAGATTAATGTTTTTAGGTGTGCTTTCTTGTAAATACGTATGGGAGCTTGCGCCATGTTTGGTGTACACTATTGCTTATAAATAAATAAGCTTAATTTGGTATGATATATTTATTCTTTGTTAAACTAAGGTAGAGAGGCTAATCCAGGAATTACTTAACAGGAACTGGGTAACCATAGTATCTCATTGTTATCGAGAGGCTAATTTTGTGGTCGACTGTTTGGCATCTCTAGCTCATCGTTGTCCTACTGGCTGCTAGATATTATTCGATCCACCATCCGTAGTTAACCCTGTGACTACAACATGACTTCGTTGACATTGCTCACCCACGAAATATAATTATTTGATGGTCTTAGGTTTTTGCCTCATTTCTCTGTACCTAAAAAAAAGGTAGAGTTTTGTTGGTTTGTAATTAGTTTTTGAATTTATTTTAAGAAATGAGGTGCCATAAACAAAATAGAGGGAGATTTTACTGTCCAGTTACGAAAACATTTTGTTGGGGTTTGTAACCGTTAAATCAACTATCCACGACGGTTACATGATGATCTAACGATTATTAATCCCGACGGATTGGTTCCGTGCATTTCTCCAAAATAGAAGTGGTCAAATTGAAAAAAAAAAAAATATCAGAATTTGAATGTATTTTTAATCTGAAGAAAACGGAAAATTAGAGTTGAGAGACATTAATATAAGCACGTGCATGAACGTGAATCGGATTGGGTCGTAGCAGTTGTAAATGGTAACATTCTTAAATTTATTCACAGGGCCAGATGGCCCACATTCAATTAAATGGGCTCTAATAATAAAATATACCCAATTGGACAATTATGAAAAGCGCTTGGCCCATCTTCTACGTGTAACCACCCATTACCAATCTTTTTTTATTCCCTTTTCTCTATATAAATGTGTGTGTTCATAAAATGCATGAATTTGTATTCGAACATGGAAGCTTTGCTTAGGATTATTTCAGTGGTTATGTTGGCACTAACGGCGTGTTTGGTAGCATTCGACTCCCAAACAAAAACTCTCTTCTTCACTCTAACCAAAACCGCAACTTTCAGAGACATGAATGCTTTGTAGTGAGTTGTTTTTTTATTTTTATTTTATTTTTTTCGTTAATTAATTATGAATGGTTTATATATTGATTATTTATGTAATCTTGTTGTGTGTTTGGTAAGTGTGATAGTGTGGATTGATACTGCTGTGGCTACTTATAATCTGCTCCAACTCTTGAGAGGTTACATGTTGCCGGGCTTCAGAAAAGATCTCACACCATCTCATAGATTTGTGGGTTGGGCTGTGTATTTATTGGACCAGGTGACCGATTACCGTTAAAAAGATAAAATTACTTCATTCATCTAAAAATTTATTTTTATTTATATGTATACGAAATTTTATTTTTAGTTGCAATTATATATATATTAACTTTTTCACTTAATGGTAAATTTGCAGTTCACTTATAAATAATTTAGAAATTATTTATATATTGACTTATAAATTTGCAGTTCACTTATAAATTTGCAGTTATATATATATATATATATTAACTTTTTCACTTAATTTCTAAATTGTATTGTTTTGATTTATGACTCGTTTATAAATAATTTAGGTATGGATTTATTTTGAATGTTGTATTTTTATAATAAAATAAAAAAAAAAAGTATAGTAACATGACCTAAAGGGAGAAAAAATTAAAAAAGAAAGCATCCTTGAGATTTTGGACTAATAATTGAACAAACAATAAATTGATTTGGAAGTCATACTCATTTAATAAATTGCCCACCTAGGCTCTTATAAGCTCGCGAAAGCTCGGGTCGGCTCGTTTAACAAGACTATGTTTGATAAAACTAGCTGATAAACTATTTTATAGTTTATCATTTAGTATTTTTAGAGCGCTTATAGCTTATGAGTTGTAGCTGAAAAACTAGCTTATATGATAAAAGTGTTCGGTAAAATTAGTTGATAAACTAGCTAAAATAAAAATTTCTACGAGTTTATTTGAAAAGCTACGCAAAGAAGCTTATGAGATAAGCTCGAGTTTTTTAAAAAACTCGTCCTACCAAAAGAAACTTATTTAAATGCAGGAAACTTATAAGTTAACAAAATAAGCTATAAGCTAATTTATTGGTTTACCAAACATAGCTTAAACCTAAAGTTATAATAAGCAATATTTTTTTCTAAAAAGAAAATAAATTGTTCACAAATAAACTCAACGCCATTTCGTAAACGAGCTCAATTAATTTTTCGAACTCAATTCATTCAAATAATTAAGCGAATGAACCGAACTCGAGCTGAACCGAGTTATGATTGCGAACAACTCGATTCTAATAATAGCTCTATCTTATAGGTACCAACTAGGAATTAAACTACCAAGTTAATTACTGCATGAATCATAGGGTGCATGCTCTGGGCCATTTTTTTTTTTTTTTTTAAGCCCGAGCACACACACATATATATGATTTAAATCATACATATTGCATGCCACTAGTTTAATTCGTGAAGTTCCATTTATGAGATTTATAAAAGAAAAAGAATAAGATTGTTATATATTGGTCCTTATCTGTCAAAACGCATGAGTTGTTTAAATTTAATCTTCTTATTAGTATAAGTATAATATTATTAGTGCTAGTTATAAATAAAATAACATACAATTGCACGTGATGGCATGGAATGATTAAATATGGACCTTAACTCATATTCATTTTTTAAATACACAAATAAATTAGTTGATAGTGAACAAGTTGTCCACATTGAAGGATATGGATATCGCTAGAAAACCGTTGAAAAAATAAATGCTGCTACCGCTCATTAATAATGTGATTTAAAGTAAATTATCTTCCAAAAATAGGAATTTGTATTTTTATTTGTTAGTATATAAAATGTTGACTACATTATAAAACCAACTTCTTACTCTATACCAAAACTATATGTAATATAATATATTAATATTTTCATGTGCTATATATGTGTAGAGAGCTGCAAATAAATGATCCGACACAAGTTTGAGTTCTTGATACTCAAGCTCGGACTCAAGCCTCTATCAAGTCGTGGTGAGCACGACTCTTTAACTAACTAAGCCGATAAGCGAGCTTGAGTTCCGCTTGTTTACTAAACTTAATGAGCTGAACTCAAATATTAACGAACCAAAATGAGCTAATAGTTTCAGAAAATCATGTTAAAAATTGTTTTTTTTTTTTTTTCGTTGAACCTTTACAAGCCGAGCCCTCTAACACTCGATTTGTTTAACAACTCTAACTATATAAATGGTTCTTTCACGAATCGCAACTTCTTTCATATTTTTCATTCGAGTTAAAAAAAAAAAATATATACAAATTCGACTGAACTTTTTTTTTCCATGAATCTCTTAACTATATAGGTAGCAACGTACACTGTTTTCGCCGGCAACACGGCGGCAGTTCAGGCGTCGATGCTGGCGGTTACCGGAGAAAAAAGTCTCCAATGGATGAAGGTTTGCAATAAGTTTACTAGGTTTTGCACCCAAATTGGTGGCGCTTTATTATGTGGATATGTTGCAGCCATTTTAATGGTCATCACATCTTCCATATCTGCCTATGGCCTATTCAGACTTTACTCACCTAAGATTTAAGAAGTTCCTTTTGCTCAAAGGGTAATTAATAACGTGTTTGTGATCAGTTTGTGGGACAAAGTTTGTGGTTGTACAAGGTTTTTGCTCATCTTAAGGGCCACATTTAAGTTATTTCATTATCATGGTACTTAATTACATATGTGCTTAAGTTCTTATCAACTTTATTGGCTAGTAATTGTGTTAGTCCAAACTTAAGGGTTATTTAATTTGATGGTACTAAAGATTGGTATTAGTTGTTAGAATATTACTTGTGAGTTATCCCACATTGTTTATATAAGGAAAATAGGCTCACCTTATAAGTCTAGTGGGTGACCCACCTCCATCCACCAATTGGTTTTGGGATAAAACCTCACTTGGGCTTCATCTAGGCTTTTCCCGCTTATTGTGTGCTTCATGTGCGTGTAGACATGGTCACGGGTCAACCGGCCCGCCGACCCGGCACGGACCCGGCCCGGTCAAACCCGTTGACCACGGGTCCGGACCCGGCTCGAATTTCATCCGGGTCAATCCCGGGTCGGGATTTTTTTGACCATGACCCGGCGGACCGGCCCGGGTCCGGGCCGGATCAGGGTCGACACGAAAAAAATGTATGGTTTTTGAAATTATTATTTTTTTTTATTGGGACGGGTCCAGACCCGGGCCGGCCCGCCGGGTCATGGACCCGGCACGGACCTAAGCCGTGCCCGTTCAGGGTCCTCCAAACCCAATCCTTCAGCCCGAATTTTGGTCATGTCTATGTGCGTTGGACCACACCCGTTTTCTCTCCATTTCTTACATTAGTTGTTTGGTAATCACTTGTACTATGGTAATTAAGGTTCGTTATGCATCAATTTAACATGATCATCTACCAAAAAGTTGTTTTTAATTTTTACCAACAAGTTATAAAATCTTGCAAGTATTTAACCCTTTGTTCTTTAAAGCATTACTAAGGAAGATATATATGACAATGTGGTTATGTTTGATGAATTGTATAATATATTATTATATCATGAGATGGGCCGCCATACTTACTGCAAAAAAATTATTGTATTCGAACGAAAAATTCAACGAAAAAGTAGTTAAATAGAAATTCCAACAGACATTTCAATTTTATAAATTATAGACGAAAAAATCTAACGGATAGTGTAATGAGGAGCAACACTAAAATACTTTGTTGGAATTAAAACAACCATTTTTTTCAAAGGTTTATAATTGTAGGAATTTTATGAAATATGTAATTTTCAAATTTTCACTGCATTTTTTATTCCCGCTAATAATTCCAACCCTTTGAAAAGTCATTGTTTGAATTGTTAATGCAACAAAATTTTTCGCTAATTTCTTTTCCAACTAAAGATAATACATTATGATGTAGAGCGTAGTACAAATGGGCAGATAATGAGATACTCTCTCGTGAAATAGAACAAACGATTTTTCAATTCATCAAAAACTCCTTTCTCCTCGGTTTCATCCCACATATATAATCCCAAAGACTTAAAATAAGAGACCTAGTCTTGCCTAAACACTTGCAAGACAATTATTTTCCTACCATAAATATTATTAAGACTAAAGGAAATAAACAATAATAATAATAATACTAATAGGAGATAAATCAATTAAATCCTGAGCCGGTCGTATTTATTCAGAAATGCAATGGCGGTCTCGTCTTCATCACATTAAGATTACACTTAAAATATATTATAGTTTAATTTTTTGTTGTAATTTGATCATTTTATTGTAGTATCGAGAGTGGAGGTTAATTGTTGGGGGTTCCCCACCTCGCGCTGTGTGTTTTTTAAATAACACAAAAAAAAAAAAAAACATTTGGGAATTGAAGTGGTATATTTAATGTCGAAAGTAAAAGGATTTATTAGAGAGGTCAGTTTAATTTATTATTAAGGGTCGGAGAGCATGGCTATCAAAATTGCGGTTTTGCTATGAAGCCAACAATTAGCGTCATAGTGGAACCAACTTTATATATACAACAAGTAAAATATATCATATTAATAAAATTATATTAGTATTATTTAAGTAATCAACGAATATGATAGATTTACTTATTGTATATAGAAGGTTGACTCAACTGTTGGCTTCATAGCAAAATCGTCAAAATTGTGTGTTCAAACACACACTTTTATTTTTTGAAGAGTTAATTTAACTGTTCAAGCATCAGCGAGATAAAGCTTTGAGCTGTCAAAATGTTGTGCTCAGCTTGCTCGAATCTTGCTCAGAAAAAACTTTGAGAAATTTACACAGTTTACATCCCATAGAATAAATAATATCACATATACAATATTTCAACTTTTTCATCATAAATACGTGATTTTACAAATTAAATAAGATCTGGTGCT